AGAAGTACTCTGGTCATCTTGCTGCTCTGAAGCCCCAGTCAGGACCGCCATGTTGGAGGACCCTTTGTTCTGCACTAGGTTGCTGGAATCCCCATGAGGAGAAGAGTTGATGGGAGCAGCAGTTTTTGATGGAGAAGTCGAAGTGGTAAGAGCTGGGTTCAAAATGTCCTACAGAGGCAAAGAGTATTAAGGGCATGCACCAAGGTAATGAATAATCATTTTGTTAAGAATTAGAGTTCGATTTACCTGTGGACTCTCAGAAGAGAGGTTGCTATCTATATGTTCCAACATTACGTTGGAGGTCGAAGGTGGATTTTTGGATTTAGTTGAGGGAGCAGCATCTCTGGAATCGAGTCCAGAGATACTAGTTGGTACAACACTTTTGGAAATTTCCTTCTTCTGCTTCTTCTTCGAAGCAGCTGGTGAATTCCCTCCAGCATTGGGATTTTCCCAAGCATTCGCACCTGTGCCTTGATCAGATTTAATCGACATGGCAGAAAGGTCATAGCGAAGATGTCCTGGGAAATCGTGGAGCCAATGTCGAGCCCATGTCACAGTCTCAGATGGCTTTGGTTTCTTTTGAAGATATTTGAACATTTCTTTGCAAGTGAACCACCAAGGGTATGGAGGAAACCAAGCCAGAGCCAGTTCTGAGGTAGGCAATCTAGGAAATTTAGGTGGATGCATTTCGAATTCCAACCTATACCTATCCTCAGGTGACAACCCTGAAGGAAGTTTTAACTTAGAAATTTTTTCTTTAAATTTTTCCTTCAAGGTCTCAGCCGCTTGATGCACAGTGGATTCCAAGTGTGTGGGATCATAAGTAGTTTCGAAATAATTTTGAAAAGCCCTAATCTCTTTGGCATGAGTGAACGTACCTTTCTTGGATTGTACCTGCACATCGAACGCAACAGTTAGTTTCTGTTGAATAGAGAGAGTATCGAACATATAAGTTTGGTAGAACTTTGTCCACCATTCCAGAAAACCCTTTGCTGTAAGGTGTGTAGGTTCGAAAGGTATTAGTTCAAAGTGGGCGAAGCCTTGATATTGTTCCTGTTGTAGTTTTGCTTCTCTTGCTTTGAAGGTTCGCCCAGAGGTGATGGCACTTTCTGTTTGGAACAGGGGTTCAGGGATTAGTTGGCACAAGCCAAATTGTCTCGAAACGAAGTTGGGTTGATAAGCAAAAAGGAAGATTTGATTCTTAGCAGGAGTAATTCGTGAGGAGATTAATCTGGGAAGCAAAAAGGCTTTCCATACATCTTGAATTTCTTTGCTTTTGATTGCTTCTGAGAGAGCCATGGTGAACCATGATGGTCCATGAGTCCTTGAGGCAAAGGGCGCCATGGTCTCTTCGAATTTGTGTCTCTTGGAGAAGATCATTATGTATTTTGAGAAGAGAACTTTGAAGTCATCCTTATCATCGTTTGGGGTAAGTCTTTGCAGCCTAGTACCTTCGATGATTATGTTCGCTATTTCCGGATCTTGTTCAGCAATAGTATTGGCAGTTGATAGTGAGGGTTCAAACATGGCATTAATCCATAACTGGAGTAACCAGAAGGGGCCATCTAGCAGGATGTTTTTGGAGGTGTGGGATTTCAAACTCGAAACAGCTGATCTTAGGCTTTCGTAAAGATCAACAAGTAGCAGTTCGCTTAAACACACCCTCCGATTCTCGTGTAAATCTCTAGCTAGAGGAATAAACCTGTTGGCTACCTGTAGGGACTTGCTGCAAAAGACATACCTTGATAACCATAAGGTAAGGAAAGCAATGTGTTCCACATCTGACACACTGTCTCCTTCAGTGTGATAGTGGCTAATGAACTTTGAAAAGCTGGCTAATTTGACTTCGAAGTCAATAATGCTCGAATGCTCTTCATTGTCAGGAATATAGGTTTCTCCTACTGGTGATAAACCAGTAATGGCTGCTATGTCAAAAAAGGTGGGTGTAATCATCCCCCCAGGGAGATGGAAGGTATTGTAAGTACTATCCCAGAAATATAAGGACGCGAATAATAATGGGTGGCTATAGGTAAAGCCTGGTTTCGATAATTTAATCAAGTTGTAAATGCCTAATTCTTCCCATTGCTGGGATTTCTTGGCTTCTACTTTAGTAAACCAGTTGTGGTAGGCTGTGTCAGAGGTGGGGCAGGATCGAAATGGTTTGAAGTTACTCTTCACATAATCTAGCACAAAAGGGTCCTTTGGGGGAATGATTGGAGTTTCCACGGTGGTCGAATCAGAAGACTCCCATGTCTTAGGGGTATCCATTTTATTAAACAAAGGTTTAAAATTATAACAAATAGGGAAAAAATTTCTGGTATCTTTTAAGATTTCAAAGACTGTAAGAGGACCCATTAAAGCTAACCTCTTGCCAGCGGCGTTAGTGGGAATTAGTACCTGAGATGCGTAGAGCATTTCCTTCTCTTTGGAGATCATCTGGGGAATAAGCACAGACTGGCCTTGATAGGTGCCAACCTTGCTTTCCATTATGGTTCCTGTGTTCTTTCCTTTCTTTTTAGAAGCTTTTTTCAGTTGAGATGATGTTGAAGAAGACATTGTTTGAAGAGTGTTGGAAGTTTTAGGGTTTCGGTGAGAAGAGAGGAAGAAAAGATTCAGAATGTGGGAAGAAAAACAAAAGACTAAGTTGATGGGTTTTTATAGTGTAGAAGTTTAAGCATCCACTGAGTAAGATTGGGATACGTGGGAGTCGTGGGTTGGATTGAGAAGGAGGTGGCGTAAAAGTTAATATTGGTAATAGGCGTGATTAAATAATAATCATTGTTTTGTAACTGCACCATGCTGTGAAATGGTTCAAGGCGGTTAAGGAAACTGAAAAGCGTCATGATTGACGTGACTGGAGTCATATGCAATAAATGTTACGATGATTCAAAGGTCGCATCAAAATCTTGTGTATATGTTTAAAATAAGTATTTCTCAAAGGAATCGAAATACATATTTTAAAGGGGCATTTTGTTGGTTGAAGATTTTGATGATATTGTTCGAAGCGAAGCAAGTTGGATGTTTAGATTGGAATAAAGCAAGATGTCATGTTTCGAAATGGTAGAAGCAGTGCTTCGAATGGGCATGTCAAAACTCTGAGCTTCGAGTGACAGTTATGGGGATATATTCAAAGAAGTCTCGAAATGGTAACAAGGCTGTGTCCAAGAAATGAGTTCGAAACGAAGAGTGCCAAAACATTTGAAATTCAAACGTAAGTGGGATGTTCGAAATTTAAAATATATACGCTGGAGCATTCAAAGACGCGTGGAAGCTAGAGAGGGGCATTGCTTTGCATGTTCTGAACGTGGCAGAGTCTTATAGCAAGACCGTTATGGTCGAAGTAGTATAAATAGAAGTCTTAGCATTAGGATTTCGTGTGTCATATCTATTGTACAAAAATTCAGTAAACATTCAAAATACCACATGGCTAGGGAAACGAATGCTCGAACAATGTACGTATGATAACACCAAATATTTATGATTTAATAAAACTCTTTATCATTTCCAGTTCTTTCATCTATCTTCATGTCAATATCATTCAAAAGCCTTTACATTAAAGTATTTTCATTCGAAGTCTTTTACTGATGTCTTGCATTTAAATGTTTTCTTTCCATTTCAAATCCTTTACTTTCAGAAACTTTTGTACATTTCATGCCTTTATCCTCATGCTTTTATCATTCGAACACATTTTTCATTTAAAGTCATTTTACTGATTTCTTGCATTTAACCGCTTTCTTTATATTTCGAGTCTTTTACATTCCAGAGAATCTTTTATATTACATGCTTTTATACTTCGAAGTCATTTACTTGTATTTGTGCAGTTTTACATGTCTTTACAATTGAACATTTATTCATGCAATTTAGTTTCGCACGCATTTACTTGATCATGTCATTAGATCTTTAATAGAGTAATCGAAGTAAGTTGAACACCTACGCAACATTCTAAATACCAACCATGAATATCAGTTCTACAATGAGGATTATCCAAATGACCAATACACCATAGAATCAATCTAATCGATCCTGCAAGTTACCAGAGAGATTAAATAACAGTCATTAAGATTATTTGATAGTTTGGAGGACTAGCGGTTGTTTACCAGAAATAACTGTAAACAGTACCGCATTTAAAATAAAAAACGCGAAAAAATTGCTTGCCTTTTGCACTAAGGCGTCATCTCACTTGACTTAGGGCAAGCCTTTTATACATAGGCGCCAAGTGAGATGGCGTCTCCCCTTTAAAATAAGGTGCATGTGCCAACTGGGTTGACTCCTCCCTTATGGGGTTTTCTGAAACATGGTTATTTGCGTAATTTTCTCCGAAACATGGTTATTTGCGGTGGAAAAATTTAATACCTAGTTATTCTAAAAAAAAATTCGAAAATAATATATAATTTGAATAATAAGATATTGGTATGTCAAATATGAATAATGATTATTAGATGAAAAAGAGGATATTGATTTTTTTTTAAATGAGAAAAAATATAAACTTAATATTTTAAGATTTTAGATTAATATGTAATTTTAAAAATTAATTTTGTGTGATAAAATTCCATTGATATAGGTCATTCAAGATTTTACGAGGGATAACTTGAACCCCACCTTAAATTATTTATATTGATGTAAGACTCGCCATTTATACTCGATGTCCAACACAACACAAGTATATACTATAACATAAAGAAAAATAGATAATATCTTTTAGTTAAAAAAATGGTTTAAAAAAAAACGAAAGAGCATAGTATTCTTGTAAAGTGGAACGTAATTTGGGGATAAAAAACCGGGGTGTGTAAAATAAGAAGTTAGAAGCATTATGGCACCTAAGAAAAAGGACAGCACAGAGAAACGATGCCAACCGCTACTTTCATTTTCATTTCTTTCTTCCATCTCTCTTTCTCTTGTCTTCCTTCCTGACTCTCTCTATCCTCATGCGCGTCATTCCCGTGGCTACTCTCCCTTTTTTGGTTCTCGCACCCTTCTCATAACCTTTTTACATCGCCATCATGAGCGATGAACCACGAGAACCACCTCAACCTTCCTTGAGGTAACCATCTTTTTCTTTTCCTTTCTTCATCCATCCATCCATGCATGCACGCATGCATGCATTGTTCATTCATTCATTCATAATCTAGACACAACTACGTTCATCTTAATATTCCATATGCATGCATGTTTGAATGTGATGATTGATGATATATATATATATGTTTGAATGTGTCACAATATATGCATGTTTGGTATTGCGGTGTGCGAAACCAAACATGCAGTGATTCTCTTTTTCTTGTATGCTGATAATCAAGATTGATTATATTGACAGTAATGAGGGCCACAAGTCAGATAGAAAACAAATAGATAAAAAGGAGAGTCCATCTGTAAGAAGCAGACGACCCCGACCGGGATTTTCTGATTCGTTTTCTAGTATTGGTAATAAATCAATCTCCATCCTTTTGATATGTTTGTTTGGTTATTTGTGTAATTGTGCTAATATGGTGGAATGAATATACCATATACATGTTGTTATTAGACTTGGCATCTTTAGAGATTGAGGAAGGAAACCAATCTGAGTATTCTCCTAGAAGTCAAGAATCTGATACACCAAGTTCAAGGGCAAGCACTTCTGATTCTGAGGGAGGTTTAAGAGGCAATCTTAATAATAATCAGTGGCGCGGTTTCTTTAAATTGCTAAAGAAAGGATCACAAATGCCATTTCAAACCTTTCATCCGTTGAAAAATGTTCCAAAACTTACTAGAAGAAAAAGCAAAAGAATTAGGGAGGATCTCATCCCATCTCTGAATTCACCGGCTCTTCAGTCTTCTTTTGATGCCGAGTTTTGCTGCTTCAAATCTTCATGGAAGAATTTTTCTCTCGCTGAGATTCAAGCCGCGACCGATGACTTTAGCCATGGTATGAAAATGTAGACGAACCATCTTTTTATTCTCATATTGACATCATGCTTGTTAACATTCTTGATTGTAGACGTGTCTAATGTATGACATGCGTTATGGTTGGACACTGGCACATCTTATTACATTTAGTTATTTCTTTTTCTCAACTTATTATGTCTGTGTGTAAGTGTTTCATAGCTTGTTATGCTTATAATTAAGCTACTTTTTATTTATGTTTGAAGATAATTTGATTGGGGAGGGAGGCTATGCTGAGGTATACTTAGGGAAGTTGGAAGATGGAAACTTTGTTGCCATTAAACGGTTGACAAGAGGTTGCCAGGAAGAAATGACTGCAGATTTCTTGTCTGAGCTTGGCATTATAGTGCATGTGGATCACCCCAATATTGCTAGATTGATTGGATATGGTGTTGAAGGTGGAATGTTTCTTGTTCTTCAATTGTCTCCTCATGGAAGCTTGTCATCCATACTTTACGGTAAGCGCTTAAAAGTAAGCTATTTATGCAAACAGAACCCATGTTTTTGGAGTTAATTGGTTCCATTTCTTTTCTGGATTTCAGGACCTAGAGAGAAACTGAATTGGAGCCTTAGATTTAAGATTATTTTGGGGACTGCTGAGGGTCTTCGCTATCTGCATGAAGGATGTCAAAGAAGGATTATTCACAAAGATATCAAAGCTTCTAACATTCTTCTCTCAGAGGATTTTGAGCCTCAGGTGCCTCTTATGCCAACATGCATTTTTCAGCAATTAGTATTAACTTTTTATGTTCTAAATCAATGAAAATCTTCGTGCATGTTTAGAATCACAATGAAATTGACAAACTCACTGTTAATTGTTTCATCTAAGTTTCTTGTTACACTTTTTAACTCCAATCTTAAACTAGATATCTGATTTTGGGCTCGCGAAGTGGTTACCTGATCAATGGACTCACCATACCGTCTCCAAAGTGGAAGGCACATTTGGGTTTGTATCTTTAAACACCTTAAAAAGTTCTTCACATTCTCAGTGATTACAATCTTTTTTCTTTTGGTTATGATGTTACAACAGCTATCTTCCTCCTGAATTCTTCATGCATGGTATAGTAGATGAAAAAACTGATGTATATGCTTATGGTGTGCTATTATTGGAGCTCATTACCGGGCGACAAGCTTTGGATAGTTCACAAAAAAGTCTGGTGATGTGGGTAAGTTTCTTCTATCGCGCATGCGCATTCTGTTTATCGATCATCTTGAATTCGATCTTAAAAACGTTAACTCTAATCAACTTAATGGAAAATAATTGTGACAGGCAAAACCTTTGCTATCTAGTAATAACATCAAAGAGCTCGTTGATCCAATTTTAGGCGATGCTTATGATGAAGAACAGATGAAACTTGTAGTCTTAAATGCTTCTATGTGTATAGACCAGTCCTCAATACAACGACCGCAAATGAGTCAGGTATTGTCCTTTCACACGCGAAGGAATCATAACAGAAAAATCGATTAAATATATTGTTGATGATCTTACAGAAACTTTTTTTTGGTCGAACGAATGCAGGTCTTACGGATACTAAGAGGAGAAGAAGAGAGCTTGAAAATGTTGAAAGAAAGACAGAAGTCTAAACTTCATAGAACATACTCTGAAGAACTATATGATGCAGAAGACTATAACTCGACAAAGTTTTTGAGCGACCGTGATCGACATATGGAGACTATTTTAGGCACCAGCAATCCAAATTAGATTATGTTCGGTCTGTGATGATTCACATACATAGAACTACAAAACTTTACATTAAAAACTTTAAGGGAAGTGATTTATATGTAGAAATTTGAGCTGATTCCACTTGTGGATTTAGTTTTGGACAGAACAGAACATATGTTGAAGAGGCTAACACAAAAAAGAAAGATAAAGAGACAGAACCAACCTCATGTGCATGTATGTAGCATGTATTTTATTTAATCAAAGTTAAGTGGTTTAAGGTGTAATTTGTGAACCTTAATTAACCCTTCTGCATAAATGGGGACTGTACTTTTTCATCTTATTCAAAGAGCTGCAGTCATTATTGTCATTTGGACATGCCTTGTTTAGCAAGTTGTTTGATCATTATATTGGAACTATATAAGCAGATGTATTTAAGAAAAGTTCATGAAATCATTAAATTCTGTGAAGTGATTTATATTTGATGTTCACAATTATTTACCTTTTTTAATTCAATAGGAAATAAATACTGCCTTTTTATTTGTGACTTTTACATATCTGTGAGACAATTTATGTTATATCACAAGTATACAGAATAATATAACAAAAAAAACAAATATATACAATATATTTAGTGGAATAATTGAGGGAAACCGTGGGGCAAGGGCGAGAGACATACGATTTGGCCTTTCTGAGTCTCCCCTATATTATCTCGAGCGCCCTTTATCTGGTTCGATTGCCCCATGCTTGGATATGTCACCCAACTTTCCATTTCCCTGTCTATGATGTGCAGTCGTGTAAGGAGCGCGTATTGAGTTAACGGCCTATGTTTAGGAAGTCGTGAGACTTAACTGCACCTCCTAAGTTTTGGGGTATCAACCACCAACTCCTGCCATGGTTGCTATATTCTAGAGAGATTTGGTTCACTCGAGGAAATACTCCTTAGAAGCTATAAATACTGAATGATTATCAAATTAAAGGGGGGCATAATCTATAATACAGAGAAAACCACCTATAAATAGTTCCTCACTTCATCGTGTAGGCTAGATCTAATCCTCAACAAACCATAAAGTCTTTGACGGCACTTGTACATTAGGGGTTGTCACGTTTATTATACTTTTATCCAATATAATTGACGTCTACCGTGGGACTTCGGTAAAACTGACTCGGGCCACCACTACATTTAACTAAAATATTGTGTTTGCACTCACCTCTCATCATGGTGAACAAGAAGACAGCTACTTCGGTAGGTGAATACTCTGACGGTGAGAAAAGTGCCATAGCAGAGATGTGCGCTGCTATGAACGGCCTTCGGCATCCGAACCAAACGTTGGAAGACAACCTTCATCATATCCAACAACACTAGCAAGGGACCGATATGATAGATGCACTGGAGGCAATACATCCCCTCTATCGGACGAAGTATGGAAGCCGGGTGTTTAAGAGAACTTCAAACTGCCATCATTGGCTAAGTTCAATGGACGCAGAAACCCATTTGAGTATATTTCCTCCACCAACACTCATATGACCATCATAAAAGTACCTAACTCTTTGAAGTGCAAACTCTTGTCTGACACTTCTAGGAACGCAACCTTGAGATGGTATACGGGTCTCCCCGAACTCTTTGTCACCATATACCAAGACCTAGTGAAAAAATTAGTGCACCAGTTTTTTGCAAAGAGGGTGATAGGGACATCCACAATACGCTCAATATCGTCGCTGGAGGATTCTCTAGTGGTGGAGAAACCAGTTCCTCCCGAATGAGATATGTCTGCCAAGTCCGGACCATTGACAGCACTCCAGCTGATCCTCAAATAAGCATCACTTCCATTCAGAGGGCAAGATAACCTTTTTCGAGGAAGACGTAGTCGTCATTCACCCTCACAATGAAGGCCCCGTGATGATTTCCATTCAATACGATGAATGGGAAATCAAGAGAGTTTAGATCGACCGGGGAATGTCTATGAACATCATCTACTGGGATGCATTTAAGAGAATACACCTAGACTTAGATGATCTTAATCCTTTTCAAGAATCATTGGTAAGATTCTCGGGCGAGGCAATGCAGGTGAAACGGTACATAACATTGAAGACTAATTTCAGGATATAGGAAACGCTAAATGTTAAACCCTAAATCCCAACACATGATTTATAAAGCACACAAAATAAAAGAATATTAAGGGTTCCATATTTCTCAACATAACATCATTAAATTGTCTTATAATTAGAAAATCAAATTTAATTAATTAGAAAATAGTTAATTTAACAACTCACTGAAAAACAAAATAAAGTATTTCTCAATCCAGTGTTATATTATCAGAGCGACACACAGTAAACTAAACAGAAGATAAGGTAATGCAACAAAACAGAAAATAAACACAGTGAAGAGGCCAATTATGCCATCCTCCAAAACATCTACTACTCACTAGTCTCTACTTGAGAATATGCATAATAGACATAAAGAACAACACATAAACAAACAAAAAAGAGGTGAGAAATACATTCCATATATTAGTGGTGAATAAACAGCAAATATAGTATATTATCACAGTTAAATCAATCATACAAAACCAACAACAGAATAATTAATCAACAAATGCAATTATATATGCAATGTATTCATCTCTTCTACTTTCATGCATGTGGTAACAATAATTTGAATATTCAGAGGTGTGTTACTGAAGTATCCAACTCACCACTGGACCTAAGTCCTACTCGTCACTGGACCGAAGTCCTTACCTGTCATTAGACTGAAGTTCTAACTCGTCACTTGACTGAAGACCTACCTATCTCTGATATATATATGATGCATGTATGAACAAACAATACAAATCGCATTCACAATCCTCCAACTTCAATCCTCGTCATAGGACATAAGTCATACATATCACTTGTTCCTTAGAACCCAAACATATCATCATTAATGATTGTCGGTGTAAGGTCACGTCACTGGTTCTCATGAACCTAAACATCTCAACACTGGTTCTTTCGAACCTAAACATAAATCACATCAACAGTTGTGTGTTGTAACTGGTTTTAAATACAGAGTCATCACCCTTAATTTTTATCCTAAGGAAGGGAATATAAAGGATAACCCTAAAAGTTAGAGATTCTAGATTTTTTTGACTCGATTCTAGACGAAGGAAAGGTGTTAGGCACCCCTCATCTACCTTGTTCACAAGGATGCTAGGGTTAGAAGCATGATTTTAGGAAATAGGATTTTAAATTTTATTAGGGGAACTCGCCACGATTTTAAGTCGTATGCCTATGTATCCTCTTATGAGGAATCAGAGTCTCAATTCGTAGTTCGTAGTTGATTTGTGTTTTTTATGGATTACGAAGATATTTGAATTTCCTACATACTTAGTCTATGTGTGTGAATAGTGGAGATATTTAGACAAAGCACGCAGTTAATTAAAACATGTTTCGTAATCCTTTTCGAAAATTATTTGTTGAATTAATTTAGTTATGAAAAATAATTTGTCGTTGGTTGAATATTTTTTATGTGTTAATCGTAAAAAACATTTTTATTTAAATGCATGATTAACAATATTTTTATGCAATGAAAATAAATAATATTTTGGATGAATTTAGAAAATAATATTCATGTGATTTAATAATAATAATAATTCATATAATATTATAATTATAAAAAGAAAATATAAAATATAAAAATAAAAAAAGAAAATTAAATAAAATGCAGGGGGTGCAAATAATACTAAGCTAGTAAAAATGGGGGGTGCAGATATTAGGGACTTGAATTCAGATATTGAATTGAGACCTAATAAGACAAGGGGGTACATTTTTTAGTGTGTTAGTAAAATTGGGGGGCGTGTAAAGCATCAATTAACCATTAATCTAAGTTAGAGATTATCTTTCGGCGCCTTAAATTTTTTTGTTTCGATTTCTTTTCTAAGCTCTCTTTTTTCTATTCGCAGGTGGAAGCCCGCGATGATGATTAAGGAGGAGATTTGATAGCGGCGGCGACGCGACGATTAGATCTAGGGTTTCAGATGTTGAAACCCTAGGCGACCGTGAACGAGGATTATAACAGTGAGGCTTCTCTGTTCTTCTTCTGTTACGAATTTTCCTCCTTCTAATGATTTTCTTCTGTATAATTCTTTCCTCTCCGATTTTTTTGTTGGTCCACTTTTCTGTATTATTCCTTAGGTTTTATAGTATTTTTAGGTTAGTATAGATTTAGGAAATATTTTAATGTGTACGTAATGTTGTATATGATTTTATAGGATTATGAACTTAATTTTGTCTGTAAATCTGTGATATCCTTGATTAGTTTCTATATTAATATTAATCTTGTATGAACATTTCAATAAGTTTTGATTATGTGCATTAACCTAGTTTCTGTTTTGGTACGACATTGTTTCTGGAAAGTTAATGCACAAATTTGCTTATGTTTTTATTATTTGATTCAAACAGTGTTTGTTAGTCCCAATACATGCGTTTCTAACTCTTGACGATTTGTATATTGCGCATTTTTGTAATAAAAAGTATATTATTTCTCATAATTTGAACAATGATTGTTTTTCTCTTAGAAACTAGGCCACACTTTTTTTCTGGGTTTGGACTTGGACCTTGAAAGGGTTTGGAAATGGACCGTGAAAGAAAAAACTTCTTCATTAATACTTTTCTTTTAATTAATAAAACAAAAATTATTTTTAATTAAGTTTATAATATAATGTTTTAATTATAATTAATATTAGTATAATCAATAATAGTAATTATAATAGTAATGTTAATAATAATAATAATGTTATAATTAAAACAAAATATTTTCCCAAAACAAACCCAAAAAATGAATTGGGCCATACTATTTTTTTTAATATTGGACTTTAACAAAAACGTGACCCTAAATGGGACTTCCTGATTTAAATATTAGGCTTTAAATAAAATGATTTGTTTTATACACCCTTCAGCTTAAATGGGAGCAGGCCTCAACACTCTTAGTGGGCCGATAAAAATTAATTATTACACCCCCATTAAATAATACCCCTTCTATTTATTCAACAAAATAGGCTTATCTT